GTATTTATATTTATTTATAGAAGGACCATGCATACAAAAACATTAACAGCAAAGAGAAGAGATGCAGAAATGTATAGTTTCTCCAAAATGATTCTTAGTACAACATATCAACAACATTTGTTATAGTGTAGTACAGGGCTATTCTGTATATATTCAACTTCATGAGCAAGTGGGAAAATCACGGGTTTGTGGGCCACACAATACTTTGTCAAGGAATCACTAGAAATAACTCTTGCTTACAGTAGTGTTAATAGATACTAATACATTCAATGAACTAGTCAAGTGCATCCCTTTTGTAACTTTAATTGTATCAACAGAAATCATACAGAAAGCAACCAGTCCGTAGAAAAGTAGGAAAGCTTCGGTTACAAGGCTGGACACAAAAGTGCAAAATGTTGAATCTTTAAAACTAAGGAGACATGAGTTTTCCCCAACAGTTCCATGTCCACTAATGTACAAAACAAGATGAATATAAATAAAAACAGTAAGTAGCCCTGTGTATAATATCCTCAACACTTCCAAGCATACATAAGGTGGCTTTGAAGACAACACAAGTCCATAACATGTAATACTAAATGCCAAATAGAACATAGTAAAAACAATAGCCATCAGAATCACAATAACATTCATATCTTGGAAACATTTTTTTTAAAACAGTAAGTAGGCGTGTTTGAATGACCATAACATGTAGTTGAATAGGCCTGGTGTAGTATATCGAAAATATCTGAAAAAACGTCAATGGTATATTATGTTGACAAAAACCACGTCATAGTATCTAAATACATGTCCAAAAATGTGTTTTAGTATGGTCGAGAATATCTGAAAAAAAATAGTACAGTATCTCACAAAGAAACAATATAGTAAAGTATGTCAAAAAACAAACGTCATAGTATCTTGAAATATACCTCGTGTGTGTGTGTGTGTGTGTGTGTGTCTGTTGTGTGTGTTGTGTGTGTGTGTTGATGTCGTGTGTGTTGTGTGTGTGTGTGATGTGGTGTGCTCGTTTGTGATGTGATTGTGTGTGCTGTGTGTGTAGTGTGTTGTGTGTGTGTGATGTGTGTGGTGTGTGTGTAGTTGTGATATGTGTTGTGTGGTTGATGTGTGAGGTGTGTGTGTGTGTGTGTGTGTGTGTGTGTGTGGGTTGTGTTGTGTGTGTGTGTGTGTGTGTGTGTGTTGTGGTGTGTGTGGTTGGTGTGTGTGTGTGTGTGGCCGTCCGGCGCAGGGCGCGAACTCGATCCCGCAGCGGGCAATGCTCGGGAGAGTATGGACCTTCAAGGAGCGGCCAGCGTCTCTTCTCTCAGGGGAAGGACGGGTTTCCCCAACAAGGTGCAAAGGCTTCACGCAACTCATGGAGGCTGGAGAACGGAGGTCTCAACACCAAGGTAGATAGCCAGGACCCCAAACACTCCAGCATTATAAGCCCGCGCCATTTCCCCCCCCGCCCCAAGCAACACCTTCCACGTGCTCCGCCGGTACAGTTGCTCCATAGGGACAAAAAAAACACGGCGCTTTCTTTGTGTTTTTATTTTTAATCATGAATAATCTGGACCATCTTTTTGACGTAGCTATATCGTTTGCAATAGGAGACATTTATGGCTTAAAAACAATCTTCCTCGTCTGTCAAAGATATATAATGATAAAGCACTGTAAAAAACGTTTTCATTGTATCTAGTGAGACTTTGAGAATCTCTCGACAAAAGGGGGATATATTTTTGTTTATGAAATGGTCCTTGGGGGCGAAGGAGAAGCAGAAAGGTTTATTCTCATTTAAAAAAAAATGTTTTGAACAATTTTACTGTTATTTTAATGCCTTTTTTCCCACGGCTCCAGACCAACTTTTATTTTCTTGTTTTTTAAAAAATTAAATTCTCAGTGAGTGGAAACACTGTTATTTCATTCCGTAGCAAGAAAGCATGGGATTATTTTTTTTGTGATGTTTTAGATGATTCTCCAGAGGAGGATCGTACAGGATCTTTAAGTGCACAACAATACTGTAAATATTTGGGTCCACAACTGTCTCACTCTTTTACTACTGTAGAAACCTGCCATGCTACTAAAATCTTCAAACACTAATGTGATTTAACATGAAATCCAACAGGAAGTACCGCTAAAACTGGACTGAGTTACACTTTTTAAATGTTTGGCCCCGATCTGAGGTTATTTTTTAATCTAATAGTCTTTTTATTTGCAGAGTTGTGTGAGATTAATTTGATGGATTGTACATTAAATTCAAGCCAGATTTCTTTTCATTCACAATGTGATTAATGTTGGTTTTCACAATAAATAAAAAAAACTCTAAGTCCTTGTTTGCTTTACAGATATTTATTCGTGGGGGGGAAAAAAATACTTGCACAAAAACCTGTTCAATATTAACTGTGTATCTGCTAACTGTTTTGAGAAGTGGATTACATGTGGGACCTCTCGTACTGTGCTAATAATACATCTGTGTTTTTCTGCATTAGAGACATAGTGTTCTCTTCTCGCACCAGCGGGAAGATCCAGAGGTTTTTGGGGGGTTTTATCCCAAGGTGATGTAGTTGGGATTGTACAAATATATCTACACACACAATTAGCATAATTCACCAACACTGCTGATGTAAAAAATGTGGCCCCAGTTTAAAAAAAACTAATGGTAGTGATGTTTCAAATGTGTCTCTTCTGCAGTTTGACTCCATCCTGTGTGTGGATTTAATTTCCTCTCCAGGAGCCTCCACCAAAAACAGATTCTTCACAATGAGAAACACTTACAGACACTCTCTCCACTCACAACAACAAATCCTTTATAGGTTTCAAAATGAACTGAGTCAATGAAATGGTTCCATGTTTAGCCTTTTGTAAATCATTAATAAATACAGATTTTTCAACAGTGCAGGCTGGAAGTGTGGTCTTTTTTATTGTCATTAGTCTTGATTGTGTTATGAAGGAATTCATTGTAAAGTATGTCACAAGTCATAGTATTATGTCGAGAATATCAAAGGAAATGTAATGATTAAATAGCAATAAAATCGTTCTAGTATGTCAAAGTCATTGTATATAAGCAATTACAATGTTATTAAACGGTCATAGTAGTATTCGGATAATTCGTTCAAATAAATTATTTTAGCTTTCGGCACGTTATCAGGCGGAGTGATACTACAGTAATGCGGTCACAGTTTGCTTATGATTGGCCAAATGTTGAAGACGTATGGTCCCAGCTTGATTGTGATTGGCCGAATGTTGAAAAATGATGGCGGAGTGATACTACAGAAATGCGGTCTCGGCTCAAACGAGTTTCTAGTATGAACTCACTTCATACATTTCTTCTTGAAATGCATTGTAACCAGTAAGAAAGAAAATGTAAAAAACCACTCACTTCACGTTGTCAAGGCAATAGTGACGTAAACACGCTTTAACACAACGTGACTCCTTAACTTCACACCAAAGCTAACATTAACAGTTTGCAACAAAAAGTAGGTCCTGGTCTCATTAGCTGATATTCCCCGTTTAAACTGGGGTGAATTTTTCAATATTTAACCCGTTTTTAATTATATATCGGTTGCCTGTCTGTCACACATTTTCAGTAGCGGCTTTGAGTGACGTGGGTGCCGTCTGAGAACACTCGGCCGTCAAAGAAGAAGAAGAAGAGAAAGAAATGTGAAATCTTTACTTGATTGATGTGTTTTTAGCTTTTAATGTTTTTTACATTTTTCAGAAACGCTGCAAGCGGGATTCGAACCCGTGAACTAGGGATCTACATAAGTCATGTTCCATACATTTGGCATTCTGTCACAGTTTTATGTTTATTTTAAATATAGTCCCTTGTTAAACAGCACTTTCATTTGTATTTCATTTGTGAAAAGTGCTATATAAATAGTTTGACTCAATGACACGTTTAATAATATATAATTGTTGTATGAATTGTTTTGAAAGTGTACATCACTACATCTTAGAGGTAACTATTCTACATTTTACTGCACGCATGAATGCCGGATTTCTAGTTGTAATCTAGTATTTTAAGTCTGGTATTAGTACTTTTACTGCTTTAAAGAGTGAATGTTAAAACTATAAAATGTTGTCACCGCATTATATTATTGTATACAAACATTAAAACACTTGTACAACTGCAGAACACCAGTTTTGTTTGAGAGAAAAATTAAAGGAAATACTTTTTGAAAGATTTTATTAAAACACCACAAAAGTACAATAAATACAACAAAGACTTTACATAAAATAAAACACTGACATTACTATTCACAGCAAACCAATACATGCAAGTATAAAAATAACCATTTCCTCCAACCAAAGTTCTTTCGATAGTGTTTCTGTCTGCGGACAAAACACTCTCCCGCGGTACTGGCTGTGTCCAGTTTCAGCAGTGCGGAACTGGACACACTTTTTGCAGGTGTTAGCTCCTACAGTCCGCCTGGATATCCGCTCTGAGTGTGATAATGGTTGGTGGTGTGGTAGCAGGACAGGGAGAAAGTACACTCCAACAGATTCCCTGAGAAAAAGGGGAGTGGCTAATCAAGCACCCCTGAGAGAACCTGGAGGAAACAATCAAGAGAATGATTGTGTGCTGTTAAAAGGAGGACAGCATGTCATTCGAAAGAGGGAGAAAGAAGCAAGAGGAAGTCGGAATCGAACGAGGAGAAAAGTGGATTCTTGAGGACTTCATCTGCTGAATCTGGCGAGTTTTTGCCACTGAACCAGGAGCTGTTGGGGAAACATTCAACTTTCCCCTTCCAAGTTAACCCTGCAATCCAGTGAGCTATTCTGGCCTGTCACCCTCAGATAAGTGACACACACACACACACACACACACACACACACACACACACACACACACACACACACACACACACACACACACACACACACACACACACACACACACACACACACACACACACACACACACACACACACACACACACACACACATACATTTTGTGAGTTAACTTGGCTTGTGTGTATTGGAGGTAAGTTTATCTGGTAAATGAACTGTGACATGAGTATGTTTGTTTGATGTACTGATTTATTATTTGGAGTTAACAAAAATACAGACATTTTATGTTGAAAGTGAATTGATTTATTATTTTTCCTTTGTAAAATGCAGTAGCTAGGTCACCGGGCTATCCCTCTGTTTCTGTGTCTAAAAAGTGTAATGTATTCGTTCAGGGATAAGACCTACGCTACAGTGTGGTGCGCTGAATTGCAGCCGGAAAGGCAACTGGTACAAAACTGAAAGTTTGTCCAGTTGCGGTGACGAAGCTGACCTGAGGTTGGAGAGCAGGTGCTGGAGGTGTGATGGAGAGACCTCTTTGCTCTTCCCTTTGGCAGGATGGGAAGTGGAAGAGAAGAGGCCTTCTGTCTGTTGAGCCTGACCAGCTGTACTCTCCAGGAGCCGGTACTGGTGCTCGTGCTGGCGTGGGTCCAGCAGGGAGGACACGGGCCGCTTGAAGAGGCTCATCAGACTCAGGGAGGGCTGGAGGCAGAGCAGTGCCCTGCAGCAGCACCGACAGCTCCTGCTTCTTCTGCCTGCTGATGAGGGTGGTTTGATTCACTGCCACCAGCTGAATCTGGGTGCCCTGCATCACCAGGTAGTTGCCAACAACCAGCTGCCGAATCTTACTGTAGTCCCTAAGAATAAGGGACCACCTGGAAATGCTTTCCTGACTGGGGATCGGTGGAGATCAGTCTGAAAAAAATGCTCTCGGCCACTGAGCAGGAGCACTACTTGCCCCCAGCATGCAGCGGGTGGTGCTCTCCACACCAGGAGTCTTTGAGGGCTTCTTCGGTGTCCTGAAGCGGCCACTCAAAAGCCTGTTCTGGTGGCGTGCTGCTTGTCCACCTCCTCCAAGCTGTCCCACAGTGCAATGATTTCCCCTGCCTGCCGGTTACTCAGGCAGAGAGAGGTCTGGTCCCGCAGATCCACCAGGTATCAGCCAGTCTGTCCACGTGCTGGAACCCCGGAAGATTCTGGTCATCCACAGCCTATGCAGATGATGAAACAGTTTAGAAATGGAAACATTAAGCAAACACTGACCTTTATAATATTGTGGATATAATAAAGTACGTGTGCATAAGTAGTTGATAATGAAATCTAGATAATCTGTATATATAAATATTCTAAAGTGACACTTACCTCTTCTTCAGCTTGCATGTCAACACTGGCCTCAGAGGAAGAACTGGAGAGGATCTCAGCAGAGGCCTGTGCAGATGGGCTTGGGGTCGGTGTCGTTCTGCTCAGGGCTCCGGTGGTTGTGCTGGGAGCCCGGATGGTTCTGCTGGGGGCCAGGATGGTTCTGCTGGGGGCCAGGATGGTTCTGCTGGGAGCCAGGATGGTTCTGCTGGGGGCCAGGATGGTTCTGCTGGGGGCCAGGATGGTTCTGCTGGGGGCCAGGATGGTTCTGCTGGGGGCCAGGGTGGAAGTGCCAGAGGGAGTCTGAGAGGCTGGAGCCTGCAGGACCCCGAGGTCCAGCACTGTGTCTGATGTCAGAGAAGCCCTCATCGTCCTCCATGACGTCCTCATGCTCTTCAATCAGCTGAGCAGTCTCCTCTGAATCAGGGTGCAGTGCCTGACCAGTCTGCTGCAGCAGATCCTGCATGCCGATTAGTTCTCCTGAAGCGATAGAGGAAAAGTGGATTCTTTACTAAATGGAATAAAAATGATATAAATATATTTTAAAATATTGTTTAAAAATTACAAACGTGTCCAAAAAGGCCTACCAGTGTAACGCGAGGGTGGACAGAACGCCGGAACAATCTTCCTTCCAAAAAGCTTCTCAAAGTTCTTGTTCACGCAGTGAAGCAAGTCCCCTGAGTAGCTGGTCCAGTACCCAGGGCAGCAGTACCACGGTCCTGGTTCCACCTGTGCAGTCCTTCCAGCAGGTACATCTGAACATTCAGGCTGTTGGCTCTGGTCCCTAGAAGAACATTATGAAACATTAGGTTGTGAAATATGAAGCGGGTGAGGTGTAGGTGAAAAGACTAATGATGTAGAGCCTCTTGCACATCTGTACAGGCAAACGTACTCCTCCCTTTGTGAGCTCCTCTGTTTTGATGTACAGAGCAACACCTGGCGATGTGCTTTCTCTGGACACGCAAGATGTGCTCCATCCTCTGCCTGTCCAACAGGGCACTCCTAGGGAGTCGCTGCCTCCGGTTCCTGTGAGCCCCAGCAGCAGCTCTTCCAGCAGCTCACCCCTCACCACGAGTCCTCCTCCTGCATTGGAGAGCCAGCTCATCTTTGGTGAGATGATTACTGACATCTGCCTCTGTCAGGAAAGACAGGCCCTGGGATTGAAGCTGCTGTCTCTTCGCTTCACGCAGCAGAGCTAAATCAGCTGCATCCCACTCAAACATGCACGTTGATAGACGTGAAATAAAGGTTGGATACAGCTGATGAGCATCTGTTGTGCATCCCTGGGCAAGTCGGCGCATGAAGTGCCAAATGTCCAGCCTTACTGTCAGGTCTGGCCACCCGCTGAATCTGGCCTTCAGCTTAGTCTCCCCTGACTCTGTGCAGCAGCCACATACAGCAGCACAGGAGGACCCACTCCGGCCCGCTGGTATCTCCTCATCGTGTCCAGCCCTGCTCCCTCCTGAGCATTCAGCACTCATGAGAATCTGACCATTCTCACTTCCCACAGAAGCGAGCCAGAGCGCGGTCCCCTTGGCTGTTCCAGCAAGCTTTTTGGTGATCTGAAGAGAACAGAATGAAAAGGGCATCTGTTAACATCATTTACAAATACTGACATACAGGCTGAGGTTATTAATCAGTAGTGTTTAAAAGATAAGAGATTGCTTCATCTTTCTGGTGGAATCCATTTTTAGAATGCTGCCATATGTGGATGTTATCCTGGCCTTGATCTCCTCCAGCCTGGTCAAGATGTCCTGGCTGTACACGGAGAGGAGCCACTTGCAGCTCGGCACCACAGCAGGCTCTGGAGGCTCAGGGAAGGTCACGGGCATCAGTCCGGGGCCCTGGAGGAAGCCCACACACTCTGTGGTGTACCTCGCCACACGATGCAGCCACTCCTCGGTGTGGTTCTCCCTCAGCTGCTTTAACACCCTGGTGGGGCTGTTACCCAGGCCTCTCTCCCTCAGAAGCCGGATCACCCAGATATCACACGCAAACCTTGGTGAGGGACAGAAACAATTATAAATATCCGTTTACATGATTCTATTTGAGACGACAGAAAACAATACACTTTTGTGTGAAGGTGACGAAACTCAGATCTGTGAGCCAAGTCCAACTGTGAAAGGACCGTCTGGCTCCATGACACGTGGGTGGATCTACATTTGGTGCAGGTAAGAGTCTCTGTCACCATGTTGTAGATCCTGTCCATGTCCAGGACCTGACGTGCCCTCTTGTGCAGCCCTGCACCTGTGAGTCGGTGCTGCCCACAGCCAAGGTTGGGACAGACCACCTTCCACAGCTTGTAAGGCATCCAGACAAGAAGTGGGTGGGCAAAGAAGCGGTCTGGTGCAGGAGCCTGGTGATACAGGTGGCTTGGCTGTGGTGGAAAGTACCAGAGCTTCAGGTGGTCTTGAAGCTCTGGTTTTCCCTTGGGCCCCAACTTCAAAAGGCTCTGAAGAATCCATTTGTGGTCTTCAGGTGGAAAGCCCTCTGACCACAAACGGGGCAGCTGGACTGGTGATGCTGTGTCAGTCTCTGTCCTGGAGGCAGCCGCCTTTGAAAACAACAACAGAGCATAAGGAACCTTAACACATAACACAGGTACAAACACTGCTGATGCTCTGAGTCGACAGTATGAAATGAAATATGAAATGACTTACCGACACAAAGGCACTCACTGCTCCGGGACTGAGGACAGGCCCTGAAGCTGTCTGAGGCTGAGCAGCCTGTAAAAGACATATACTGCTGGTATGCAGCTCAAATCTGGATTAGTTATAACAAAACAACTGCTTCTTATTTAAGACATCCACAAATTGCAGGCTCAATGGGGCACTTTGACACTTCTATTGCTGTACTATCGGTAACAAACTTAAAACACATCCACATTATGGGTGAATAGAGAGGCGAAGTCCCTCCCTTTCCTCCGGACCTCCATGGGACCTTATTTTGGAAAAATCATGTATTGAAATCAATGGAGAGAGAAAGATTATCTTTTGATCCCGTTTGATTTGTGCCACGAATTACACATAACATTTCATTAAAATAAAGAATAAAAAAAGTACTTTTGTAACTGAAAAGCCCCCCCCCCTCATCTGCGTCCTTACATTGCTGAAATACAGTATTGAGTTTGTAATCGAAACACCTGCAGCCAGTTTTTCCCAAATTGGGATTAATAAAGTATCTATGTATCAAAATCAGTGCCAACAGGTGCTTTTGAGTTTATCACCGTTCTGATAGAGTTGGTTGTACCATTGAACAGCAGGGCCGGATCAACAGCTCTGGAACTCACTCCCCCAAGACCTCCGTGAGTCTGAGTCCCTCACCCTGTTCCAGTCCCGCCTCAAAACCCACCTTTTCAACTCTTTATCTATAAAGCCCCCCCCCCTCTTAATCAACTTCCTCCTGACTGCTTTTCTGTTGTGTTTTTTTGTTTTGTTTTGTTTGTTTTTTTGTTTTGTTTTGTTTGTATACCCCCCCTCCCAAATGTAAAGCGTCTTTGGGTCCAGAAAAGCGCTATATAAAATTATATATTATTATTATTAGCACCCTCTAGTGGTGGTGAACTGGATTCATTTTTTAAGGGGTCATTTCAGGATTTGTTTCTGCTTTTCCACACCCCTAAAAGAAGCTCCATTACATCACTAGTTCAGTCAATAAAGTATACAAGAACAAAATAAAATGTACCAAGGTTCAATGTTGCTTTTTTTATTTAGATCAATACAAAAGCTGACAACGTAATGTAAAACACTGTAGTTTGTACTGCCCTACTTCACCTTTTTTGGACATAAAACACTGAACAGTTGAACGTAGAAACACAAATGAACATATCTAAAGGCTCAATAACATTAATGTATAAACCCTGTACGAGGAGAACTCCTCATTTAAATAAAACACTTCTGCTTTAAAGTAACATAGCGCAGCCGACATAATCTAACTGAGGTATTTGTTAACACAAGAATGTATAAAATATGAATACAAACAAATGAACATAATACAATCTTAAGGCAAAGTGCTGAGATTCAATATTTAGCCCAAATATCCAACAATCAGCATCTCACTTGGATAAATCAGTGATTGGGAATTGGGAGTTGCTGCCAACACGACAGAAAACCTGGAACAGAAGATAACAAAGTGGCCGAACTGTATATTACTGTAAAGCTACAAATAAGCAAGAGGCAGTGATATACCATGTTTTATGACATACTATATGATATTTTAAGACAAAGTAAACTATGACGTAGTTGACATGACTTTCTAATGGCATGCTGGAGCCTGACTTTTTTATGACGCCTTAAAGAGCAACTTGCAGGTTAGGCAAGGCAAGGCAAGTTTATTTATATAGCACTTTAACACAAGGCAATTCAAAGTGCTTTACAAAAAATGAAAGACATTAAGAAAATAGCATTTTTAAAATCAGTCATTAAAAAGAAAAGCTAATAAAATAAACATTAAAAGAAAAAATACATGGATAAAAGTGACAGTGCAGTCTAAGATTAGGTTAGAACCCCTAGCGAATAAATGTGTAGGAAAATTATGTATACACTAGATTTTTTTTTAAATATACAGAAATATACACTACAGTAACATCTGGCGTCGTTTTTGTAAGACATTTTTATTTCCGCATAACAAAAAAAGACGTCACATGGGGGAGAGCGGCCGGTCGAACGTATTAATAAACATGGATCACGATGCTAGTTTTGACACAGAAGAGGTTGAACATGTATATTCGAATGCATATGACGGACCACAACCTAATAATGATGAGCCTGCTCGGCGTCCAAGAGACCAGGAGCCGCCAAGGATTAGAAGGAATAACGGCCATCGGAGAGAAATGGAGCTGTGGTGCGAGGAGAACCAGTGGAGAACAGGGCAGCTGTCTTGGTGAGTGACCGGCGTTAGCTACAGGTAATGTTAGCTAACGTCGGTCACATCACAACATTGGAAAGTTAGCTATCATATATCAGGCTATAACTAAAGTAGTATTGATAATATAGTACCGTTACTGGCAGGACTGTTGATACTGATCCATAACCGAAACTAATGCGCAAGTATCTCGCGTTACCTAATGCAACGCCACACTACGTCTTACGGTGCTGTGTACCGGAGGGGAGAGAGAGAGGAGCGAAGGGGGGGAGAGAGAGCAGCGAAAGGGGGGGAGAGAGAGAGAGCAGCGAAGGGGGGGAGAGAGAGAGAGCAGCGAAGGGGGGGGGAGAGAGAGCAGCGAAGTGGGGGGAGAGAGAGGAGCGAAGGGGGGGGGAGAGAGAGAGCAGCGAAGGGGGGAGAGAGAGAGAGCAGCGAAGGGGGGGGGGAGAGAGAGCAGCGAAGGGGGGGGGGAGAGAGAGCAGCGAAGGGGGGGGGAGAGAGAGCAGCGAAGGGGGGGAGAGAGAGCAGCGAAGGGGGGGGGAGAGGAGAGCAGCGAAGGGGGGGAGAGAGAGCAGCGAAGGGGGGGGAGAGAGAGCAGCGAAGGGGGGGAGAGAGAGTAGCAGCGAAGGGGGAGAGAGAGCCGAGGAGGGGGAGAGAGGAGCAGCGAAGGGGGGGAGAGAGAGAGCAGCGAAGGGGGGGGAGAGAGAGAGCAGCGAAGGGGGAGAGAGAGAGAGCAGCGAAGGGGGAGAGAGAGAGAGCAGCGAAGGGGGGAGAGAGAGAGCAGCGAAGGGGGGGAGAGAGAGAGCAGCGAAGGGGGGGAGAGGAGAGCAGCGAAGGGGGGGAGAGGGAGCAGCGAAGGGGGGGGAGAGAGAGCAGCGAAGGGGGGGGGAGAGAGAGAGCAGCGAAGGGGGGGGAGAGAGAGAGAGCACG